GTTTCATTAAAGGCCTACAGATTTTGATGGCCTATAGAGAATTGAGGTTTGAACTTAGGATTTTATGTAAGGTCGGGCGATTTGATAGTATGGAGGTTAGTATATGTTAGCTTCTTTGGGGGGTTGCTCAAATGCAGGCAGATATTAACAAGAGAATTGACAGGAGTATTTGGGGGTAATTAAGGGCTTAGGCGGACTATAGACCGACTCGTAGTATTCATCTATTTGCATTTAGTAAATTATACGTAATCGGAGTGGTCATGCTTAAGAGGAAAGATAGGGAACAGGTAAGGAAGCAAACAGAGAAAGAGAGAGGGAGAGAAGAAAGAAAGAGAAAAAAAGAAATGATAAAAATAAAATACAGTAAAATAAAAATTACAATTAAAAAAATTAATTAAAAAATTAAATTTAAAAAATTAAAAAAAAATTTTTAAAAAAGGGCACTGTTAGGCTTCTGTTTTCTTCGCTTCCAGTAGGTGGTGCTGTACCTTCCGGGCCAAGATTTTGCCCTCCGGCTGTAGGAAACAATCCGTGCGAGGCCGCTCCCACCTCCCCCACCTGGTGTCTCTCCAAACCTGTTAGCTTAGGTTTATTCCTGGTCTCTAGTCTCCTCGCTTCTCCTGCCAGACAGGCCTTCCCCAGTGTGATACCTCTCTGCAGTTCAAGCTACACTCTGGGCCTGCAGTTTCCTGGATGTGGAGCAAGGCTATTGGGAACCGGCCCCCTGTTGTTTTGATTCCCTCCGATAGCCACTCTTCGGAGAGCTGGCGAGACACGTTTCATTTTCGCTGCTGGTGGGAGTTGGAGGTCAGGTGCCTTTACCTTTCCCCACGCCTCTATTCACGCTCACTCTGTTAATCACGCCCCCGGAAAGCCAGGGAGAGATTTTATGCGATTTCCCCGCTGTATGGGAGATGGGCTAAATGTCACACACCTGTTCTATCACTGAACTTGCTGCGATCTGTGGGAAACTGGCGATGGTGACGTCAGCTCTCTAAGATGGTGGCCACTGGCTTCCTCAGTGGGCTGTCCGGTGTGAAGGACAGAACTGGACCGCTTCCTTCTCCTGTTTCAATCCCAGAACTCAGCCCGGAGCACAGTGAGGGCACAGCCGGCAGGACCCCACAGAATCAGCAGCACTGTTCCTCTGCGTTGCTGGCACGCCGTTTCTCAGTGCGCCGCAGTCTCTAGCAGCGGGGCGGGCCGTCGATCAATCAGCCTGAATCTCCGTGCACACGGTTCAGTCGCGATTGAGCCCCAGTAACCGATCCTCGGGTGATGGAAACCCTTCCTCTAGGTTTTGGTGCACCCCAATTTTGCTGGAAATTCCTAACAAGATAGCTTTTGGCCGTTCTAACTCGTTATTCACCTGCGCAGTGACGCGGTACACGGCGGTGATACACTCTATTTGCCGCCATCTCCCCCAGTCTGAATCTGAATGTATTAATGCGTCTCTCTGTCCCCGTGATTGAGGAGGTACTGAAAGTGCTGCCTCCCTGCCTGCCGCCATATTGGGTCTCCCCTAAAATGTTTTAACAACAAGTAACAAGGTATAAACTCTAGTGCTAGGTATTTGAGTTCTTTCCCACTAGTTACAATCTTCAGCTGTACTAACCTGCCTGCCGTTTCTCATTCTTAAATGCTTCTTTTTAAAATTTGTTTTAATTAGTTACACATGACAGTACAATGATCTTGACATATCATACATTTGAATCAGATGGGATATAATTTCTCATTTTTCTTGAAATGCTTCTTTTTCTTCCTTAAAACACAAACCTGTTTTTATATGTTAATGACATGTTTGTCTCTTAAGAAAGATATGGAACGCTTCATGCATTTTATCTTGGTGCGGAGGCTATGCTTATCTTCTCTTTATCATTTGGATTTTAGTACATTTGATTTAAAGCACTACTTCAAATATTTATGAGAATCTACTCTATGTCCAATATTTTTTCAAGTTTGCTTGGAACAAAGTACTAAACAGAATAACAAAAATTAAGAGTACTAGAAAAGTCATTGTAGTCTCTTATTATAGATTATGACATGTACTTTGAACCAGAAACCCACATATGGTGCTGTTTTTCCCATAGACATGATTCACAGTTCTGGGAATCAAAGGGATGATAACAGGATGTCTTTCATTATTAAGCCAAATAACACACTCACAGAATTTTTGCTTCCCACCACTACAGTTTGGGGCTTTGTTGGCTTAGAGATTATAGATTTTACTTTCTTTCATAGCCTGTTAATGCCCTTCCCCCCAATTTTTTTTTTAAAAAGCAGAAATGTGATTGACGTCATTATCCAAAGTACATGTCTGAAGACAGGAATGGGTATCAACATATTTTATATACAACCAGATATATGAAAAATTGTGCTATATATATTTAATAAGAATTGTAATGCATTCCTCAGTCATTTGTTTTTTAAAAAATCAATAAAGAGACTTGAGACAAAGTCTTAAGTGCAAGTTTGAGGATTGTATCTCATTGTGAGAAGTGAGAAATATAGGAATATTAAATAGCGAAGACGATATACCCAATACTAGGAAGGCTTAATGACTTGGCTCCATTAAGAGTGACTGAAGCCTGTATTCATCAGCATTTAGCACCTGTAAGAATTGATATTAACTCCTCTGCACTTACCAGTTCTGCATGTGTGAGAGTTGAGCTGTTTTTTTCCATGATATTCCCTCCATGGAATCAGAGGGACCTAATGGCAGGACATAAGGAGCATATGGAACATGTCTGAGGTAATGCTGTCAAACTAACTACACAGGCTAGTGGTTGAAATCTGTGCAGAACTGCTTATTGCAGCCATGTCTTAAGTAAAAGATGATGGCTGAAAGAATTTGAAGTGGTACACAAGAAGTGTCTGCTATAATTCACAAGGAAGGAATGCTTCTACCAAGAATGCTTCAGTGGTTTCATTCTGTCAGTTAGCAATTTAGGGTTCTTTATGTCACTGAACAACAGACAAATAAGAGAGTTAGTATATTGCCTGAGGCAATCCAATCCCAGTTAATAAAGGAAATTTGCCTTTTTCTACGTAATGAGGAAAGGAAGAGACCATTCTGATATCCAGGAGATTCTGGGGGAGGGTGTCAAAAGTAAATGTTAATGGGAAATTATTATAGTAACCCAATAAAGGGGGAAAATACTGGGGATTCAGATTCCCTAGGAATGAAGGTTGAATGTAGCCAAAGTTATGAAAAAGGAAACATGGAAGAGGTTTTGAAGAAGGAGTTATAAATATCAATTATAGTTTCATGATCAATCGCAGGGTAAGGAAAAACTGGCTGCAAAATAATCTGACAGAGACTGGTTGGGAGCACGGTGGTGATGGGTGCTATTAAAATTTTCCTAAAGAGGTAAGGAGCTAGAATTAACTTAGTGGGATGCAAATTTGGATTTTCTTTTTATATTTTGGCCTGAGGAAAAATGGAACAAGATCTGTGAGAGTCCATCTTTTATCCCTGTCCTTCCTATATATCTACATGTCTTTGGGTTGTTGAATTCTAATCCCTGTAAAGAAGGCTTATTTCTCTCCTGTAGTGTGGTTATGAGGAGTTCAGTTGTAGTGAGAGATTCTTTTACTCTTGAAAAATTCTTGAAATATGTGTCTTTCATGGTGTTATTCAACTCAGAGATTACTTATAGCTTCTTGTCCAAAGGGTAAAACATCAACTCTTATACTCCTGAGATATTCACAGTCTGGCTTTTGCTTAATTTATGGTTTCTTCAAATACTATTCTTTATCTCCCAAAATATAGACTGCAGTTATACAAGACTACTCCACTCCTTAGGCCGGCAGTGAGAAAGCATGCGTCATGGAGCTTTTCTCCATCCCCACCTTTCCCCAAAGTATAGTCAGGTGTGATCAGTGGCTGTAATCAGTCAAAAATACAAGACTCTGAGAAAACTTGTCCTAGGGAGGTACTGCATAATTATTTTGTTTTTAATGAGTTGCTCCAGGATGTGGACTCCTCTGGGATGCAGAGCCCCTTAGGCCCAGGGATAAGTACATTGAGAAATGAAAGCAGGTGCAGGACAGACATGGGTGATGACTACAGAGGCTGTGACTTCATAGCCCATAATGAATGAAGGGGAGCAATATCTTGGCTCTGGGCCCTAGAGTCATCCTCAGACACTCTGGGTAAGTAGTCAGGAGGGTGAATGAGCTGGTGTCTTAGTGTCTGTCTGCCTGAGGCTCTTGATTCCCCAAGTTGTATGATATTCAGGATACTTTTCTTGTTTTAAAGATTAAAGAAGTTGATTATTGGGAGAAATGTGCGTGGCAGGGTCTCCACCCTCACTCTCTGCAACTCCCTTCAACCTTTCTAGTTGTGTATACATAGTGAGATTACAACTAGCAGGGCAAAGGTTTTTTAAATCTTATTTAAAAGAAGTGTGCACTTGTGCTATTTCAAACTAGTATGAATTCTGATAAAGAGGTGGCTTCACAGATCAGTTGGCGAGTTCTCTTTTAAGTCAGATTTAAAAATCCAAAAATCCTTGAATATTTTAGTATAAGTCTATCTCACTTGATATAAATAACACACAACCCAAGAACTGGATTTGCAACACAATAAGATGATTTTGTGTATTTCCAAAGGGGTCACCTTTTGGTTTCTTCCAGTGAGTGACTCCCCTGTTTTGTTCACTAAGTGACTTCAACTTTTCAGAAGTATGTGCACAGCATAAACCAAAGTACACTTGCATTTTTATTAAAGGTGTCCCCAAACTTTTCAGTCATCACTCTTATCATTTTTCACAGCTGTCTTTTTTTATATTTATATATATATGTAAAAATATTATATATTTATAGTATATTAGTAAAATATGTTAGTATATATTAGTAAAATATATATATGTATTAGTATACATATTCATATAGTATTAGTATACATTAGTATACATATACATATTAGTATTAGTAAAAATATATTTTTACACACACACACACACACACACACATATATCTATATATAAATTAAAATATGTGTATATTTTAGTTGTAGGTGGACACAATACCTTCATTATTTATTTATTTTTATGTGGTGCTGAGGATTGAACCCAGTGCCTCACAGATGCTAGGCAAGTGCTTTACCATTGAGCAACAACCTCAGCCCCACACAACTATTTTCTTAAAGGAAAAAGTAAAACAAAATTCTCCTTCATCCATCAACATTGTCGACCATTCAACAGTAAATTCTTACCAGTAAGATTTTAAACACACTGGGCTCAGAGCCTGTGGGATTCCTGAAGCACAAGAGGCCTCACATCATTTTCCAGGGTAGATTTGTAAAAACAAAAGCAAGATAAAGTCCACAGTTGACTTAAACTATATGATCCAGATATAAACAGGACCCTGCCCCAACTACAGGAGATATGAAACCAGGGTTGCTGGCACATGGAATCAAGAACCACCTTCTGTGTGTAGAGTACAAGGTAACCTGCTGTAAGCATCTTCCAGCTTCCTTGCAAAATAGCCAGCAAGAGCCAGGAACCAAGAGCCAAATAGGGAGACAGAGGGGGGGGGGGTCACAAACTGGCCGTCAACAAAGAGGGCTAAGCATTCGAGATGCTGAGAAGTAGGGAGAGTAGCTTGTTCTTTCCCACCCATGATAGTGATGACATGGGAGTTAGTGGCTCCAAGCACTTAGAATGGGCAAAGCTATTCCAAGTCCTTTCATGAACATGTACTCCTAATTCCTGTCACAGTTCCACGACAGTGATTATGATATGTCTTGAACACTCTTTAAGAACTGAGAACCCCAAAGATGGTTGTGTGTGTGTGTGTGTGTGTGTGTGTGTGTGTGTGTAGGTTATATCCATTGATAGTTATATGGTGATCTGGCCACCACTGCCCCAGATCTGAAAGCACCCAGCTCACAGGCACCGAGGGCCAGAGCCAGAGCCAAGTGCAGGAGCTGCGCTGCTGACAGGTGAGGCCCTAGCCTCAGACCATGGCTACTTCTCACAATGCCCTTGAACAGAAAGTTTGCAGACTCTTCCTGAGCACAGCCACTACCCTCCCTTCCTGCTCTTCCCATTCTTCTCTTCAGGATACTTCTTCAGGTATGATAAATTCCTGTTTTCCATCAATTTTCCATGTTGTAAAAATATTCTGACTAAATTTTCCCACTTAACAATTTTTTTTTTATTAATGATAGCATTCGTTAGTATTACTATGCAGTGTATTCTCTCAAGATTGTATCATTTAGCATACTGATGTGTCTATGAGGTAGGCATTTACAAAAGTTCTTTATCTTTGTCTGTATAATTGAATTATTCAAGGAGCTTTAAAAATGCCATAGTCCCCCTCAGAGAGATTTTGATCACATTTGATGGGGGATGGCAAAGAAATTGGTACTTTAAAAATAAATATTAACAATCCACAATAAAAAATTAAAAATTTACTTTAGTGTTAATTAAATCTTACATGAAAAAAATAAAAATGTTTGATGTTATTACTCAAAGTATAGTCTGTAGATCAGTAGAGTTAGCACCACCAAATGTGAAATTTTATCTTTTAAAATGTTGAATTTTAAGCAAGTCCCACAGTAAAACTTTTAAATCCAAACCAAAATTTAACAACCATGTGCTTCATATGTTAGATTGCCATTTTGGAAGCACTATCTTTTGTGAGTCTTATATACAGTCTAGACTCAGAACTACAGATGTAGAGGTGAGAAAGATGAGAGGTGGCATTATGGGAGCAATAAAATGCTTATGCCCAATCAGTGGCACCATCTGAGAGTGGTTCTGTACTTTGTGATTCCCAATTAAGACCCCTGAAGCCAAAGATGCATCCCACTCATTTCCCAGGGAAGCCACATTCTGAGGAATTATGTGTATAAAATTTCATTGATCACTTTCCTGTCTGAAATACCTGTATATTATGGCAGATGTAAA